GCTGGACGGTGCTGCACTACGCGGCGGCGGCCGGCATGGCGACCCGGCCGTCCTCGCGGCTCTTCCCGCGGCTGGAATGTCCGAGGGTGTGCAGTCACGACGCTGAAATAAGGATCACTCTTGGCTCATGATGGCCTTTGGTCGGCGTCACCCCAACATGCTAATCCCATGTGTGCGTCGACCCCCCAGGGGCGACGCGCGCACCGAGAAATCTTACAGTATATGCGTCGTGGCGGGTGCTTTCTGGGCACGCCGCTCGGGAATCGATACCTATACGACCACCCTTCGGGTGATAAGGAGGTTCGGGGGGGGGAGGAACCAACGTGTCACTCGATCGGTCTCACTATAGATCTCACTATCGATCTCACTATCGGTCTCGCTCGATCGATCTCACTCGATCGATCTCACAATCGATCTCACTCTATCTATTTCATTCGATCGATCTCACAATCGATCTGACCATCGATCTCACAATCGATCTCACTATCGATCTCACTATCGATATCACAATCGATCTCACATTCAGTTTCACTATCGATCTCACTATCGATATCACAATCGATCTCACAATCAACGTCAGCATCATCATCGTCATCAACGTCATCAACATCATTATCATCATCATTATCATCGGGACACTATCATCATCACCTCATCACCATCATCATCAACATCATTATCATCATCACCATTATCATTATTATTATCATCATTATCATCATCATCATCATCAGCATCATCATCATCATCATCATCATCATCATCATCATAATCATCATCATCATCATCATCATCATCATCATCATCATCATCATCATCATCATCATCATCATCATCATCATCATCATCATCATCATCATCATCATCATCATCATCATCATCATCATCATCATCATCATCATCATCGGGACACCACCGTAGCCATTTTGGCTCAAGCCATTTTTGCTCAAGTGCACGTCGGCAGCAAAAAGGCGTCCCTCGCCCAGCAGCCGGGGCGCGGCCTACTCAAAGGCCAGCCCAGCGAGCCGCCGCCGGCCGCCCTTAGCCGCGGAGCCCTCGCCGCGATGCCGGCGGGCCACGTGATTTGCCTCACGCCGCCAGCGACCCCCGCGGCGATCCAGCAGCTCCTGGAGGCGCGAGCCAAGGCGCGGGCCGCGTCACAGGAGGCGCCCCCGCTGGACCCCGCCGAGCTCAGGCGGAGCCCCCGCGGGGGGCGCCTCCACCCTGCAGCCCCTGCAAGGGGCGCCTCCCCGCAGAGGGAGCCTGCGGCGACGCGGGCCCGCGTGCTGGAGAGGCGCGCGGCGGCGCAGGAGTCTGTCGAGGACGGAAGCTCGTCGGGCTCGGAGCTGTGGGAGCAGGAGTCCCAGGACTCCGACGAGGGCCCGGGCGCGAGACGCTCCCAGGCCCGCGCGTCCATGTCGAAGCCCGTGGTCTTGACCATCCTCCTCCTGAACCTCGCCGCGATGCTGGGAATCGCATACAACGGGCTCGCGGACGTGATGACTTCGAGCCAGCCTGCGGGTGTGCGGAAGGCACGGGACGACTCTGGAGACGGAGGGCACGCCAGGGGAGGCGTCTACCTTGTCACCAGCGGCAAGGCGCAGCGGAGCGAGGACGTGGCCGTCGCGAGCGAGGGGCCGCAGCGGCGACCCGTGGCGGCGGACCTCGCCGGGCAGCCCGAGGGCCTCGCGGAGCTCTTCGAGGGCCAGGCCGAAGGTACGACAGAGGAGATGAAAGCCATCGCGGCTTCACCGTCTGAGCGGCAGTCAGACAAGCCAGCTGGGCGCCAGGCAGACGCCGAAGAGGCACCACTGTAGATTTTTAAGCATCCCAGGGCAAATGATTGATTGGTTCGGGCGAGTGGCAATTGGCCACCGCTTGATCGACCGGTTGCCACCGAACCCTTCGCGCCGACAGGAGCCGGCGAGGGCCAAAGTGGGCCCCTGGCTCGTCCTCCGCGGGCCCGCCCCATCGCCACAAACCTGCAGACGGCAACTCCTGCACTGGTTGCTGCTGCTAGCTGTTCTCGCTCGCGCACTCCTGAAGAACAAGTGCTCCCGCCCATGAAGCACTTGTGGAGCTTCTTTTCTTGAAGAAGAATTTGTCTTAAACGATGCTGTATTGTGCGCCGAGCGGAACACGGCCACCGCGCCGGCAACAGGTCTCCTGCTTCGTAGGATGCGCTCAGAACCCTTTTGTGTCCGCCGACAGGGGTCCTAGGACATCATGACTCCGTCGTGTGGAAGGCGCCTGTTCGCTGCACAAAGTAATGCGGCACGCGCATTCGATTTTGAACATGAATTGGGCACTCACGTCGGCTGGCGCAAAGGGCCATCGCCTTTCTGCGCATGTCGATTTAAAATGCGTCTCGATGCTGATGACAGCCTCAAGTTTTCGGAGCACCTTGTCCATGCATGGGAGCCCCTTGCGCACTACCAAACCATACGAATGCTTGCATGCAAAATCGATTGAATCCGATTCGCTTGGATGTACTTGTCGGGCCAAGTTTGGACGACCAAGGCGCATTTCATTTGCCAAGTCCTTAATGAGGGCTGCAGACAGGGCGTGGGAGGTGGGGGGGTGGGGGGCGGGGGGGGCGGGGGGGGGATCCTGCGTGTCGGGTCTTGGCGGGAAAGTGTCTCGCTTGTGCGTGCTGATATAATTAGGTTCCTGCCATTGTCGGCTCATGTTCCAGAAGGTCAATTTGTTTGTGTCCCCGTCACCCCGCTGTGCGAGGACGCACTAGCGCGGTGCAGGGCAGCACCGCGGCCTTCGGCATGTACGCAGGGCGGCGCCTGGCCGGGGCGTGAGGGCGATTGTCTGGAGCTCTGGCCCCGGCGGCTCGTCGGGCGCGATCCATCATCATCGGGACACCATCATCATCATCATCATCATCATCATCATCATGATCATCATCATCATCATCATCATCATCAGCATCATCATCATCATCACCGGAACACCACCATCATCATCATCATCATCATCATCATCATCATCATCATCATCATCAAATATCATCTCATCATCATCATCATCAAGAACAACATCATCAACATCATCGGGACACCATCATCATCATCAACATCATCATCATCGGGGCATCATCATCATCGTCACCATCATCATCATCACCATCATCATCATCATCATCATTTCATCGGGACACCATTATCATCATCAACATCAGCATCATCATCATCACCATCATTGAGCCACCATCATCGAAATCACGATCATCGCCTCATCATCATCCTCATCATCAACATCATCATCATCATCGGGACACCCTCATCGTTATCATCATCATCATCATCATTAACATCATCATCATCATCATCATCATCGGGACACCATCACCATCACCATCATCATCAGCAGCATTATCATCAACCTCATCATCATCAACATCATCGGGACACCATCATCATCATCATCTCATCATCATCAACATCATTATCAACATCATCATCATCATCATCATCATCATCGGGACACCATCATCATCAGCAACATCATCATCAACATCATCATCATCATCATCGGGACACCTTCATCACTACCACCATCATCGTCAACATTGTCATCATAATCATCATCATCATCATCAACATTATCGTCATCATCATCATCGGGACACCATCATCATCACTACCATCACCATCATCACCATCAGCATCAACATCATCGACATCATCATCATCATCATTATTATTAGTATTATTATTATTATTATTATTATTATTATTTTAATATTATTATTATCATCATCATCACCATCATCATCATCATCATCATCATCATCATCATCAGCATCATCATCATCATCATCATCATCATCGGGACACCGACGGGACACCGGCGGGACACCGGCGGGACACCGCGCGCCACTGGCCCCTGGAGAGGAAACATTTGGTCCGGCCGCGCCTCAGCCGGAGGCGGGACACCAGCGGGACACCGCGCGCCAACGGCCCCCGGAGAGGAAACATTTGGTCCGGCCGCGCCTCAGCCGGAGGAGACTTTCTTCTCGCCCGCCCACGCAGCTTCGCCTCGCCCGCACGCACGGCACGCACGAACACGAAACCGAAACCGATTTCCCGGTAGGGGGGCTTTCCGTCCCACTTCGATCTCACCCCCTCACCTCCGATACTACAACAGGGGTATATTATATGTTCGGGTCGGACGCGCGCCTCCAAGGAGGACGTGTAGTATTAGTATGTCTCTGTGCGTCCCATTTGGTTTTCAGGTTCAGGTGGGGCCATCTACTCCTGGCCGGGGCTCGCCAGACAGGCCCCTCTGTTCCCGATGACTGTGCGGCAGGCTCGGGTCGCCTCGGCGTTGCGGCGACACCGGCGCGGGCGCGTAGAGATCGCCACCCCCTGGGGTCTCTTTTCGGACCACGTGTCCCGCAGAAGACGGCCAGTCAGGTGAGGTCGGGCGCCTTGCATCAGGCGGTGCGCGAGCAAGAGGAGGTGTTGATGGCGCCCAGAACCCTTCGTGCTGCCGCCTGTGGCCGCCTCCGCACTCTGGGCAGGGAACGCGCAGTGCATGCTATTCATATTCAAGCGTCCAGGTGGAGGAAGGGGAAGGAAAGCGGGGAGGAGGAGGACGACGCGGAGGACGAGGATGAGGACGAGGAGAAAGGGGGAAGATTACCCGCGGTGCTGAATCCGTACGAAAGATGGGTCGACGGCCTGTGCGGACTTCCGAGAGCGTAGATCGTTCAGAGTTGAGAGGTTCGCGCAGTGTCAGAAGCCAGGGCCCACGTCGTCAAGGCAGGAGCTGACCGTAGCATCCCACCGCTGACCTTCCAGGAGAGCCGCAAAGGAAGTCCTGATCCAGAGCACGCATCTCCGAATCCCGTGCAGCACCTGGCTGCAGTTACCTCGGGGTGTGCAGTCTCGAGCTGTTTAATCTCCACGGCTTCACGCTCCAGGCAGTGGGGGGAGGAGGGGGAGAGGGCCGAGGCGCAGGAGAAAAAGGGCAGGAAGGGGAGCAGGGGGAGGGGGATGAGAATGAAAGGGAGGGGCAGGGGCAA